CACCGATGCGATACAGACTCTTTTAATTAAATAGGAGATTATATAAATAATTCGTACCATCTGCAAATATTCACTTGTCGACTATCGCCGCGCCGCGCTGCTGTGAAGCAGACCACTTGACTTGGGCATTTGATTACCGTTAATACCGAAAACTCTTAGGAAATCAAAGGATCCTGTAAGTTTCCAGTTTAGAAAAATATTTCCACTCTTACACACGGACGAATGATTCGCGAAAGGTCATAAATTATTTTTTATCAAACGCTAAACGATAAGAAAACTCCGTCAAGTGATCTCGCGCAATAATCACCTAACACACAAATCTGATTATTTTTAATGTTGAAAAGAGTAATTGGAAAGAAAAGGTCGCATTTGTCCAATATATATGTAACGGATCAGTATACCTAAAGTAAATACACATTCAGAATGAGCTAAATTAAATGAGATGAGCTTAAGTACTAAAGTCGCGCGTTGCCGATCCTATTGTAGCTTTTTATAGTAAGAGAAAAAATAGTCGCTGTAATAGGATCAGCAATTGTGGTTAAAATTTGCAACAACACCAGGACAAAGAGAGATATCACTGTTGCCGGTTACGGTGTTATCACAAAACGCGCAATAATACCAAAAGAGATTTCCTACTGTTTCTCGTGCTGCGTTTGATGTCTTAAAATGAACATCTGTATCCTTCAAGTAATTTCGTTGGATCTTAATAATCAATGCTAGAGTAAAAACATCAAACGCAGTAACTGGTTAGATAGGAACATGCGCGCGATGTAGAATCTGCTATTAAAACTGTGATTTTAATTCGCCATTTTTTTCAAATCGATACGCAACTCATTTTAATAGCAGGTCATCGCACGCCGCGCTTACGTTTTACCGCAACGAGAAAAAGCTTTCCCTTTCAAGTATACGGATACTACTAATTCCTGACTGTTCCATGGAGCTGCTAACTACTACTCGTGGCACGTAATACGCAATGCATTTGTACCTTGTCAAAAAAAAAAAAAAAATCGACGGAGCATGACAGCAATTGCCGACATCCTATTGCTTGACGGCGGTACCAAATACATCCGAATATGTGCATTACACGTTACATTAATTTACAACAATGTGCAATTAATAGAAAAACCTACCTTGGCTTCGTCAAGTCTTGCTAAAGCTTTCAAAAGATTACCAAGATCGCTTCTCACACAGTAAAGATCCTGTAACACACAAAAATCACACAATGTACATTTATTCTATTACTATGAAATGAAAAACCTTTGAAAAATTTTCCAAAAGCACCTGTCCAAAATATTACTATAAAATTATACAGATAATTAATAATAGAATGTATTCCTTACAGGGTTGTATTGTAAAGCAGTCACATATGCCTGAACTGCCTGTTCCATATCTCCTGCAGCTACTAATGCAGCTGCTAGATTGATGTAACCATCAATGAAATCTGGTTTCAACCTAACAGCATGTCTATAGTTCTCCAATGCTTCTTGTAGTTGACCGCGTTCCTTAAAAACATTTCCCAAATTGCTATAAGCCTCTGCCAATAAGGGATTCTGTTTTATTGCTAAGCTGCTATAATGAGCAGATCTAAACAGAAAAACAAATTTATTAATATTACATTTAAACTGAACTGAAAAAAACCTGTTTCTCAAATTAAGCAAATTAACATTTACACTTACTTTTCAAGTCTTCTACATTGGAAATGAATTGAAGATAACAGCAGTAGGACGCCTGTATTATTTGTTTCCTGCCTCCAAAGTTGCATGCAATGCCGCTCTGCATTTTCATAATCTCCTGCCTGGTATTCTCTATGTGCAAGTTCTAATAGCCCTGAAAAATTTAAATTCCGATGTTTTTAATTTTTTTACAATATATACATATATTAAAAAATTAGTATAAGCTAAACAAATATACATATTAATAGAAAGAGATGATCATTTTCATGAATATTCGACTTTCTTAATTATAACTAACTTAATAAAATATTCCTTCGCGTACAATTTTTGCGAAATTTTGTATTTAAAAAACGAAAATTAATGTTTGCATTCCATATGAAATGATAATAAATACAAAATACAGCTTTAGAGGCAACTAATTAATAAAATATTGTCGCATTGTAAATGTTTCCAAACATTACGCATCGCCCTGTAATCCCTATGGAAGTCTACGCAAAAGTAATATGCTTCTATGCCGGCTTCAATATATCGATTTTCTGTTGTTACTTGGTACATCGTAAATAGTAATGAAAAGATAGGTGAACGAAATAAAAATTACGAACAGTATGAATCAACGGCAACGTTAATGGTTTGATTATCGGCGATCGCAATTAGTTCCTTGCCCTGCGTATCCTGTGTAACAACCAGGAGATTCTGTCCATTTTGCCACTCGACGGTTCCATTACAAACGTCATCCGAACTATTGACCACGTTCCCAATTATGCTGGTTGAATTTTTTAGAACGTTTTCTTTCTTCTCGGCCAATCTTAGACTCATTTTGTCGGTGAATTTTTCGGAATGCGTTATTCTATTCTTCCCAATATCGTACACACGCCGTTTCCACGCAATCGACTTCGACCAATTTCGAGACCTTTCGACGCTCGAAATCTGGTATCTCGATTTTTCCTTTCGATAGCGTGTGTTGCTCGGTTCTAGAACTACTTTTACTTTTTGGATTCACTTTTTTCGTGTATATTACTGTTAATTACGTTTCGTGGATAAAGCACTCCGTAATATACCACTGAAGAATTTTTCGTTTCTGTACATACTATGCTCTTCCGCGCATCTATACGAGTTACTGTCCGGCTAGGTTATCCCCGCCAGATCGAAAAGCAAGCTGATTGGTTGACTAAACCGTTATGGCGGACTCCTGCGTCGTTGAATACAGACGGAAGAAGAGAAGGGTGAGGAAGACACCCGGCTCAGGATCGTCAACATCGTAGTTGATACCTTCTACCTTTTATACTTATCTTCTAGTTTTTCAATAATACCGTTGCTTATTCACCAATCTTTTATACAAACAAATATTCAAACTATACATTTTTACCCTTATACTAATATTCTTAATACTATGTTCCTACCATTGTCTATAGGTATAATTTTATTAAAAACTGATTAGTAATTTATTATACTCGTTCTTAACATTCGATTAACAAATATAATAGATATATGTTTATGTAACTATGTAATTATATACTAATATATTTTAATTAAACCCAAAAAATTCATTATGTTACAAGGTGCAAGTAACATATTGTACGTGACTGGGATAACGACAAAGAAACTACGCCGATGATTCTCAATCTTTTTTAACTAAAACTCAATGTTGTTGATATTACAATTTCTTTATAAATTCTTATTATAGAATGTATCTAATAAATGCCTTTTATATAAATATTACACTTACAAATCAAAAATATTTTATTTATATTTGTACTTTACAAATTCAAATTATAATCTGCAAATATCAAAGGAACGTTGTCATTTAATTCCTAATTTAAAATAATACCGATTCAAACATGACTAGTTAAAGTAAATTTAATGTTTTAGTGGAAGCATTACTTGGCAGGTAACAACGAGAAAAGTTAGAAGAGAACCACTGACATGTACGAAGGGACGGTTGCCCCCACTTTTCCCCACAGAGAACAGATGGAATAGGTACCAAGTGGAATATTCCATCGTCACTTTCATGAAGCAGAAATGGTAGCCGAAGGGAGAGGGGGAAGAGTAGGTAGCTAAGGGAGAAGACTTGAAAAGGGGAGAAAAATATCCGTAAACAACGGTACGATAGTAACACTTCTATTCCTAGAAAGTAAAATAGATTTAACACAGAACCTGCATGTTAAATAATATTTCATGTATGTCTTTGAAAGCGTAACAAATTTTGAATATTTATTAAAAATTTATCATGTACATTCTTCTATAATGCATATGAATGCTATTTACACGTACTTCAGCACAGTATTTGCTCTGCTGCCGTACGTACTAAAATAAATGAATAGTAACATGTAGTGAAATGTCGATGATATTTTTCAATCATCGCAATATTTTATATCAAACTTTAATTTTGTGCAAAAATTTAAATAAATCAAACTAAATGATAAATGTAATGGAAAGATTATAAAGACATTTCTGTATTGCTTTCATTCATCTATATTTATCTTCCATGAAAACTTATGCAAGATGTATATTTTTAGCGACATAAATTAGAATATTTCAAAGAGGATATCTATAAATTTCATATCCCTTTTATCGAGCTTCATTAATAATAAAATGAAAAATAATCATGGTACGTAGTCAAAATCATTTTACTACGTACCAACTGTTGAAAGCTGTTGTATCTCGTTCATCTTGAGAATGACACTGGTGCCTGCAATTTGTTGATGATTCTGCTGCTGTTGCTGCTGTGGCTGCTGCTGAGCTTGCATGATGACGGTCACCATCAAAAACGATTGAACAGGAACAACGCGACAGTTATATACAATAATCGCGTGTCAAATATATTTCCAAAATTCAATACTGAAATCGGGAGCCGAGATTAATCGAATTTGACCGTACTTCTATGCTTTCCGTAGTACAGAAACAAAAAGCAGGTATGCGCAGCACTTATATCGGTATGCACTAGCGCGATCTTTCAGCGTGCGCCATCATGGATTTTCGAGCACTGACTAACCGAGAATTAGTAGATAATATGCAAATCTCACAAATGCGAAATTGTACGATTATAATATGTACTATTGCTTAAGATTCCACAACTTAAGATTCTGTCACATCAACCAAACGTGTCACAGTAGTCAAGTGGGAGCTCGTTAACGATGTGAAACCTTTAACATAACGTGGACCTCGTATACGTAACACGGGTCGACGCGAAAAACCAATCGATGAACGTATTTCTGGTTAGAGACTTGGACCGTTCCTCGCGCGGGAAATACGTCATACTCCTTACAACCGATAATCGAATTGTACATATTCGGCTAACGTATGTCACGAACCCTGAAATTTTATAATTAATGTTATATAAAAATCAATGTCAAGTAATAAAGAGCACCAAAGAGACCATAGCACAATTAGTGGTTATGTGAAATCAATTATTTGCAACATAAATTCAAATTACAAATAACTAAGTTAATAAAATTGGTAAAAGAACTAAAATACTAAATATGTATTTGTTCACTTTTTCTTTCCTCCGCAGTACTTATGTTCAATACAGTACTGCTTTTACTCTTCTGATACATACTACATTCGTGAAACAAAATCGATTATTGTTGAGATCAATGAATTTAATGTTATATGCACGAAAATGTTTCGTACAAAAATACACAATAAAAATATTATATTTCAAAAAATTAAGAAAAAATAAGTTTTCCAACAAAAATATGGTCACTCCTGGAAATTACACACGACCGTCAGAATGGCTCAAGTTCAAGATTGAATTTCCCACCAACTTAAAAAGAGTTTAAATAAGCAGTGACTACAAATACACAAAGACTGGACATGCCTTTATTCTCGAGGGGTCTCAGACACCCCCATGTGAGATAGGTCCGTACGATCCCCTGTGGCTCGAGGGGCTTAGAATACGGCCACGGTATCCCCTGCCTGTCGTAAGAGGCGACTAAAAGGGGGATGTAAAGGAACGAGTAAGATGAGTGGACATAAAAGTACAGAAAGAGTGTGAGATTTAAAAGTACGGACAAGTATGAGTGGAATTAAAAGTACAGAATCATATAGCATAAATAATGTAATTGAAAATGGCGCGATAATGCGCGTGGCCGATAACTTTTCGTTGGGCAAAAAGGGACAGATCCAAGTCCCTAGATTACGCCACTCTCAATAGAGAAAAACTTATGAAGTGAAGTAGTAGGTTCGTACGTAACTCGAGCACACTTGGCGTCCATCGCGCCTGTTTTACCAGTCCCAACGACTCCAGATCCATGTGTAGTCACCTCCCGATGCAAAGGATGTGGAGATTAGTGATTTAACGTTAGTGGTAGTTCCCGCGACTTACATGAAGCTAGTCGGAAGGAATAATAAAATATGATTATTTTTAATTTTTCTTAGTGTATTACGTTTGTAAATCGTTTCCGATTGATTGTGAGTCTATTTTTAACGTTTGTTTCTTTTAATTTTTTGGAACAACTGTCATTGTGTTGAAGATCTTTTATAATAAAATAAGTTACCGAGCAAAAAGTATTTTTTTACAAGATAAATGATTTCATATATTTTTATATATTATGTATTATTTATAAATATTGCAAACCAAGTTCCTTTTCTTTCCCTAAAATAAATCAATTCTATTCTAGTAATATTATATCAAATCTTTCTTTATAGATGCATTTTCAGCTTTGGGGTCCCGGATCGGATCAGGTCGTACTCATCACTATTCCGAACAAGTGAGTTTCAAGATTTGTTCGTTTTTAGGTCTTGTATTTCGCTATTAGCTTCGGGGTCTCTGACACCCCGATGGCGTAATATCGGTATGCAGCATCGCCCGTATCTCGGGGTCTCAGATACCCCGAATGCCAAGGTATCGATAAGCATAGAGCGTCATTGGTGCATCGGGGTCCCTGACACCCCAGATGCCAAAATGTCGGTATGCAAACAGTGTCATCGGTGCTTCGGGGTCCCTGACACCCCAGATGCCAAAATGTCGATATGCAAACAGTGTCTTCGGGGTTCCTGACACCCCAAGATGATATCATGTCGGTATTCAAAGATAGTCGCCGGTGCTTCGGGGTCCATAGCACCCCCGATGCTATATTATTGGTATGCAAAGATACTCACCTGCGTTTCGGGGTCCTTAAAACCCCAATATGATATCAGATCGGTACGCAGAGGGCGCCCTTGGTGCAGCCGGGTCCCTAACACCCCTGGATAATATCAGGTCCGTAAGAGGAGGGCACACCCGTATAATTTTTTTCCAGAGTTTATTTAATTTAATTCATTTATTTTTTTTTGCTTATTAAATGAGCTCATCGAAGAGGAATAACATTTATGATTATATCCCTCTTCTGGGTCTGAGCCGAGGATCCCATTTATTTTACTTTTTCCAGTCATCTATATAATTTTATCCCTCATTATAGGCCAAGGCCATCTCAGTATCCCTTACATCCCTGCATTCCTTCTATCCCAGCATTCCTTAAATACCCATTTTTTTTTTTTTTTTTTTTTAACGTGGTGGAAATCTTCAGAAAGACACCTTCAGCCCCCCTGGGGAGGGGCCGGAGGTAGTGTGGGATTTTTACCCACTAAAACCACCACGGTGGCCTGCACTAGGGCGGCATGAAGGGTCCTTTGACCCTCCGCCATGTGCCAAACTCCGCCGACATCGGGGGCCACACCCGATGCCGGCACTCCGCGGGCCGCATGCAGTGGAGAACGGGGCCCCAGCCCCGAACCCCTACGGGATCCCTTTACACCCCTCGTTCCGTTACATCACTGCATCCCTTACATCCCTGCATTCTTTTTATCCCTACATTCCTTACACCTCTTCATCCCTTAAATCCCTATATTATTATCATCCCTACATTCTTTTCATCTACACATTCGTTACATCGCTTCATCCCTTACATCCCTACATTCTTTTCATCCCTACATTCTTTACATCTCTGCATCCCTCATAATAAATATATTGTAAAGACTGCCTCGAGTAAAGGTAAGTGAAGGTAAGTAAAGGAATTTCGCGAAAATTTCGAAAAAACAGCGACCCCTAGCGACAAAAATGCGAACTAAAATTTCGATGTCGAATCAGCGCCATCTGATTTCGGAAAAAGGAACTAAACCTTGCACCATTTCTGGCCCTCTGGCGGCAAAAATGTGAACTAAAATTTCGATGTCGAATCAGCGCCATCTGGTTTCGGAAAAAGGAACTGAACCTTGCACCATTTTTGGCCCTCTGGCGGCAAAAATGTTAACTAAAATTTCGATGTCGAATCAGCGCCATCTGGTTTCGGAAAAAGGAACTAAACCTTGCACCATTTCTGGCCCTCTGGCGGCAAAAATGCGAACTAAAATTTCGATGTCGAATCAGCGCCCTCTGGTGGCGAAAAAAGGAACTAAAGTTGTATAAAATCGCAAGGCTTATAGCCGCAAAAACTTCAATTCAATTTCAGCGAGGTACTGGGATGTATGGAATGCAGGAATATAAGTGATACAAGAATATTAAGGATACAGGCATGTAAGGGATGCAGAGATGTAAGGGATGTTGGGATATAAAGAAGGCAGGAATGTGAGGAATGCAGAGTTGCCTTCCTAGATCGTGTTGCACGCACGCCAGCTGAGAATTAAACCTTTCAAGTTCGTAACAATACAAGCAAGTGGCTCCACCAGGACCAACGAAAAAACTGCTGTAATACCGACGTCCCGAATCGGAGGGGTCACGTGCCATGTCTACCCCCTTAATATGGGATAAGACCCCATAAAACAGAAGAACACCGCGCCATCTAATGGTGTACCGGAGAAGCTATGGCGGTAAGTCGTTGAGTAGTTCCTGCCGTATTTATATAGATGGCGCCGAGATCGAATTAAAAAAAATTTAATTTATGGCGGTCTTTTTAAAGTTCAAATTTGTGAATATATGATTTTGACTGATTTCTAAAAAGAAATAGTATCAATGGGAGTCAAAATTGTGTCTTTAGTTGTGAATGTATGGTGTCGTAAAAGAAGGCCTTCCTCAGAGTAAAGGTATTTCATTTCGCAATTAAATTATAATTAACGTTTATACACCGTTTATATGATATAACAAACAACTACTATTTATTTTTAAATCAATTGGGAGAATGGTTAATCTCACAGAATAGGCCCATGAAATAGCGCTTTAAGATAGTTAGATAATACAAACAATACACCCCTATCTCATTAAAATTTAGTATGATGGACAAGTAGGAATAATTGGCATTAAACAGTCTAGAGTCATTTAGTAGATTTGATCAGATCTGCTATTTCTATACAAGTGGATAGTAGCTTTTGTAAAGCATCATTACTAATCTCATCCTGCTTTTTTATGATGTCATTTAACTCATCGCATATTTTATTTACATGTTTATCGAGATCATTCACGGATGGGTTTTCCACTGATTGATTTTCCAGCTTTGCGAGCTTCTCTTCCTTCTGGGAATCCTCGTAGTTGCAGCAAACGTGACAAATGTTCAGAGAATTTCTGGCCACGTGTTGCAGATAATGTTTAACATCCGAGAAATCTTGTAGCTCGAGATAAGTTGTACCGGAAAGATAAGCTGGCAAAGTATCATTTAAGGACGCTTTTTTCGTTACAGCAGCAGCCATTGTCGTAACGAGGTCCTCGTTCGGACACATGTGGGCTACATGATCGAAAGACTCCAGAGCCTCTTGTCGCACCCATGGATTCTCATCTTCTAGTAGCCGACAATTTAACTCTGCTAACGCGTACGAGCTCCTAACCATGCAATTGCCGAAAAAATTAATACTATTTCTTAAATAATGTGACGCGATCACCTTCACGTGCGGTGGAAAGCATGGGAAGGATGTTAATACTGCTTCTAGAATCTGAAATCATAGAATTCTATTAGTCGATAACGTTGGTTAAGTGAAATCGATAAAGATATGATTGCTAAAACAAAGATATCTTGACAATTATGTAGAATAGGATAGACAATTTCAATAACCTTAGTATTTCATGTATTCGTATGACCGTCCCTCAGATTTAACATTAATCCTTCAATGGTAGACTTCGCTCAATTGTGGTTCATACTCAAGGAACGTACACAACAAGTATTACAATTTAAAAAAATTAGACACTCAAATATATATATGAAATTACCCAGGTCATTGATTTATTTGAATTTAAAATCACGAGATACGAAAGAGTTGATTTTAATTTCTTCAATGTAAATGAAAGAAGAAATACACTTACTGCAACGAACATATCGTCTTGAATTGTTTCAGATTCCATGGCGTTGAATAATTTCGACACGAACTCTGACAATATATCCAGTTGCCTTCCTTCACAATTTTCAATGGTGTTTGCAACTGAGTTCCATATCTGAGACAGAATGTCAATTGTACTCTTCTCGCCCGCGTAATTTAGTTTTCCAATCATGGACGTCAGTGTCATCTTGCGAAGAGAAGAAAGATTGAAATCATTAGGATTTTCTACATTTGAAATTCAAATTGCACGAATTTGAATACTACCTTAATTAACCATAACTTACAATACGATTCCAATTTTGCACAGTCGGTTGTCGCTGCAATTCTATGAACGTGCTAGGAATCTCATTAAGCACGCAAGCCAACTGATTTTGCAAAAACAATTTCGTTTTCGAAGGTAAAAATCGCGCAAGAGGTATCCACGAAGGATTCTCAAGATCCTCTAATTCCATCAGAATGTTGTGTCTTGTTTCTTCAGCCAATAAACTGTAAAGTCTTCCGATTAGGTTCTCCAATATGATTACTTCAAAGCTGTTATTGCGCTTCATCAAAGCGGCATAGACTCTTAATAAATATTTCACGTGGCTGGCACAGAGTTCTGATGAACCAATGCTGAAAAACAAAACTAAAATTAAAAAATAAGATCTATAATTAATTTCTGTTAAAAGGAAGAGATTAAAGAATTAAAGAACTGAAACGTAACCACTGGTCTCAAACAGAGAAATAAATGATTTACAAACCGGCCAATAAAACACCAAACATCTGAGCTGAGCATAGAGCTCCAAAGCCTATTGTTTAGCAAATGCTTCAACAAAATTAATTCCATAGCATGAAACCCATCTGCTGGAATCTGACTGATAAGACAGCAGATTGGTACCAAGGTGGCTTCGTACAGAGAAGCTTTTTCTGGTCTTTCTCCAATTTCATGAGCACCTTGTATTTTTATTTGACCCATGCAGATCTCTTCCTGTACTTTTTAAGAGAATTAAATATAAGCATCATGACAAATGTAATCAAATAATTAGAATATATGAAAGAAATGATTGCAAGTGCAACATGGTAAGATTCAGATATTAAAATTTAATGAGAAGTATAAATAAATTATATACCAGACAAATTGTTTTCATGTTAAAAAGAATTCAGAAATACTTACTATCATTAATGTTTGTAAAAGCGATATCAATTATTGACTCAGAGCCCAACGTCCAATTACAGTGTTGTTTATATGGTATACTAATTAATTTCTTCATGATGCTGATTGTTAATAAATGATAGCCTAATCTATCGATTTTTGTTTGATTGCCATACTCGAAGAATGCCTGAAATATTATTAAAAAGTGAATCTTTGAACTAGTGATTGAATAAAAGTAAAAAAACGAACCTGTTTGAAATGGGGTGTTTCAAAGACAGTATTTAGAAATGGTTCAACACTCCTTGAAATGTGTAAATTCAGCAATGTAATTGTTCTGCTATCAGTCTGCGTTTCTTTCTCACACAAAGGATAACACCTGATTGTGGAGAATAATAAAAAATAAGGCAGTTAAAATATACATATATTAAGCCATTCCCAAAGTTTGATAATCATAATAATTTTTTGGATAATTTAATATTTTAAAATTAAAAATGGAATTGACTGCAACTGAATACCTGTGCATTTGTAAAAGAATTTCAATTACACGGAGAAGAATTTCGTTGTTTATATCGGATGAATATGTTGCAAATAATTTGTCCAATATTTTTAACATGCGACCAACAACTTTGATGCTTCTCTCCTCGATTGGATTGGAAGAATCCTAAATCAAACATAAATTATATTAAACTTAAGGTTTATTTTATTTCTTGAATAATTATCCTTTCTTCAATTAATAAGCACATATAATATTAATTAAAATGTACCTGAAATAATGAAAGCGTTCTAATTACATCTTTCGTCATTTCTACGAGATGAGAAGTTACGCTTTCCACATTAATTCTCTTCACCACAAGTTGATGCTTGATTGCCATATCACAAAAACTTTTGGATGTTTCTACGAACGTATGTGGATTTAAATCATGCGATATAGTCATTAATGACCCAATAGAATCGATTACTGTAAAAAAAAAGAAGAAGAATGTAAAAGAATGACAATAAATGAAGAAGAGAAAATTAACAGAGCAACAGTGTCTTTTTTATTCTGTTTGACGTACTCGATAAAGAATAAGAATCGTTCGGGTTAAAGAATCGTTAAGACGTAATAGGATCGCTCACCTTTTATCAACAGTTCCGTTTCCGATTCCTTGTCCGTGTCGAAAACCATTACAGAGTTCAAAATGACTGTGAATAGAGTCAAGTTCGTTTTCGCCTTGCGAAAGAGGCTCGCTAATTCTTTCTCTACAGCCTCGAATAAAGTTTCGTACAATTTCTTACTGCAAAGAAAAAGCTCGCCCTATTATCACAGAAGAAACACGTCGAATCGCTCAAAAATAAAATTACTTCGTAAGATTTGCCGGCTGATTAAGTTTTACGCTCTATTTCTTGAAAAAGAAGATGATCAACTACGAAATTAAATATTTCTATTTAAAATAATTAATCGTCGTCATAAACGGTGGCTAATTAGAAGAAAAGAATAGGAAAATTTGTCAGTATCATTAGCAAAAGTAATTAAGTATTTGTCTCACCTCTCTCGACAATGCTCGAAGACTAATTTAATCGAAAGAAGTAGATTATTTGATATGGATTTAAAACTGCTAGCGGATCTTTCCTGAAACTGCGCCATACGATGCATGGATATTTCCTCGATCTTCAGCAATTCGTGGCACATAAGTAATTTTCGTTTTACATTTCCCATTTTGTCTTCAGCATTCCCGTGTATTATACCAGTGATCTCCTTCAAAATCTTCAAACAAAGATGTATAATATAGGTATTTAAAAAGAAAATAGAAATATTTAACTATGTCCAATTAATTAATTTACCTCGGATAAAAAGTGATGAACCGGAGGAAGAATTTTATTGAAAGTTAACACATTCGAATAATTATCTGAATCATCGGATAAATATCCTTGCAGAACCAGCTGGAAGGATTCCACACCGTTCCTTTCTCTGAGTTTCTCCACGGCATCGTGGATATTATCTTAATTAAGAAAAATTTGTACAAATAATCATGGTATTTTAAAATAAATACAAGTATCTTGAAAATATAATAAAAAGGATATTTTTAATTTCGAGATATAATCTTCGTGAGATATATCCAAATCGGTGAACGAATCTTCTAACAGCGAATTGAATGAATTCTCATCTGCCATTTTCTGTAAATTAATAAATTCATATTTAGAATAATTATTTTTATTTTTACGATAGTTGGTTCGCGTTAGAAGCCGATATACGACCTGATACTTGCATCGAACTTCTATTTAAATAAATCGTTTAAATTTCTACCGAAGAGATGATTCTTTCTAAAACGGTTAGCGATATAATTTATAATGCTGTTTCTCGTGTCGTAGGCAAATCAACGTGTCTATCAATCGCGATGAGACGGCTCGATCGCGAAACGAGGCCTCGAAAATTTCTTGGCAAGCTTTCCAAGCCGAACTATCCGGTGCCGATCAAGCACGATAGACAGCAGTTTCTCCAGGAACCGGAACAGGGATGGATAAACTTTTCCATAAAAACAATTAAAACAATTTTTTTTTTTAAATTAAATTTAAATTAAAATCAATAGATTGACTGTTACAATAAAAGTGGCCCTTTTGAATAATTACTGAAATATTAATGAATCAAAGCCAGCAGTCGTCGTTCTAATTAATCGTACACCTCTCGCGATTACTTACAAATATTTTCAATAAATAATATTAATAAAAAAATTAATCTACTAGAAGTTTAGCAGAAGAAAGGATAGGATAGATTGGTAGATGGAAACCGAGAAGTCGTTGATCGGTTTGTCCATCCCTGAACATCGAAGTCGCTGATAAGAGGTGCAATTAAGCCTGCAAACGCTAATGGGCGGGCTCTCTTAATTTTCGGCTATTCGACGTGGCCGAGTTCCCGGGGCGAAAGTTTCTCGTTTAAATCCTCCGATAGAGAGTTACTTGGCGGACGAAGGAACGAGGAAGAAAGAGAAGAACGGATTCGAATGATCGGCGATGCCATGGTAACTAAAGACAACAACCTGTCAGATGATAGGTAAAGTTTTGATCAATAATACCATGTGACTGCTGGTCGAATTCGAATTCTCTGCTTGGATGACAGGTTTTTGAAAAACTTGATCGAAACGGAAAAGGAAATTGAGAAGCACCCATAACCTGCCGAGCACAGGGTGCTCGAAGCTCTATCAATGCTCGATGCACTATGAATTAGTAAAAACAGAGAAAATCTCATGACTGAAAAATCATCAATAGACATAGGATCATGTTTTATATTTACTCTAATTCAATTTCAAAGCCTAAATTCCAGTTAAATAAAATTCGAATGTTATTGGGTTGCTGCTCTGATTTCAAAATATGTATACAATCTTCCACGATTTGATGACATAAAAGTATCGCAGAATAGCACTTACGGCACACTAAATTGAAGCTTAAAGCCTGACGAAAATGACTGCATAAACGTTTCATCGATACTCTTAGTCTTCGTTGGAAGAAACAATGAATCACCTGAAAAGCGCCAAGCTTCAAATTGATTGATTCATCCTCCGTTCCAGCGAATAATCAATCAATTACTATCAAGAATCTTAATCAAATCTTAAAAATTAATATTATTTCGGGTATACTCGATTCCATGCCTACTCGTAAAACGGCGGCAGTATCGGGCGTCGTTCGAATTAAAGGGAGCAATACATCGTTCAACCACCCCACGCTGGAAGAGGGTGAAGGTGACGTGGTGTTAGTACCCTGGGAGTACGTAGAAGCAGCAACTGCACGTAGCAGGAGGGTAACACGAAGGTGAAATGGCAGTGGTGGTGAACGATCGTGTCAGAGGGCAATGGATGAAGTTAGTCAGTCGGCGTTTGCTCGCGCCACCATCAGGATGGAACTTCGTTCGTCCTCCATCTCCCTATTAAACAACAAACGCGTCGAGTGAGTACTTCGAGCGATAATTATCATATTTTTTTTTTTTTTTAAATAATAAATGTTACAGAATGTAGCTTCAGAGGGTCGGAATGTCAGAGTCTGGGAAATCGGTGAGACCAGTCAGACAATTGTCTTTGCAACCAGCCGCGCCGAGAAGACAATTCATCAGGAGACAACGATCAGCGGAGGAAGAGAAATCCTTGCAGATTTGTGTCAGCTCACTGGCTCGAGGCAAACGTGGAACGAACGCGAAACCCAATTCGGAAAGACCTAAGGTATAATAATATTAGGTTGTGTAATAAATTCCCGTGTTTTTTTGTATTTTATTTTTTTCCCGCAATTTTGTGTTTCGTTAGGTGAAATATATACCTATACGCATTCGCAAATCTCCTTCTTACTCTACAAACCTATCTGCTACAATTTTTCGAATTAATTAATTTGAGTTAATTTTCAGGCCTTTGAAATGGAAGTTCCAGGAGGCAAAAAAATTCATTTTCGAAATCTGCTCTATTTCGCCTTTCGTCGTGGTCAGAAAGCTATGAAAGCAGCTCGCGACATTTGAAAATGAATTTTTTTTTCCAATTAATTAATTCGAAAAATTGAAGTAGATAGGTTTGTAGAACAAGAATTATTATCTAACAAAATATTTCACCTAACAAAACACAAAATTGCGGGAAAAAAATAAAATACAAAAAACAACGCGGGAAATTATTATAGGTACAACCTAATAAATAATGAGAGAAGAACAAGTAATTTAATTCTTTAACTTCTGAAGGAATTATTAATACCTTTCACCCTGGAATATGGTGATGCGATATGAATTTCAGGTTCGAATCGCCTGGAAGGAGAATCGTAATCAAAATGAGAGAGAAGTGGAGCAAGTTGAAGTGGTGGCTCGTCAGATTCCTGGACGATCCAGGCCGGCCACCGGGAGATCCAGAGGGTTCATCGCGATCGACAAGCCGTCGATCCTTTGCTCCAGACAAGAACTCGCGGAGAGGCTGAGACTCGCCTGGAAACACCGGGAAGAGAGCAAAGCCAATATAAACATATTCTTAGCGCACAAAACCTTGGAAGACAGATGCGATTCTGAGATGTCGAGTCACGCGACCGTCACTGCTCCATCGTCTCCAGAGTCGAAATACAAAATTTCATTTTCTGAAAATTCTAGAAGGATACCGGACGAAGTGATTCGGATACCAAATACTCGTACACGATCCGCAGGTCAATCTATGAATAAAGAAACTCGGAACGATTTATTGTTAAGTTTTGAACGATCCAATGTGGGAGAAATCGCAATGTTGAATGTAAATAAAATTGCTGAAAACAAAAAGAAAATGGGGAAGGAAAATTGTGAAGTGGAAAAGGAACAAATAGATAAAGTATAATTTTTCTGAAACTATTTAATCCGTCGTTTTATGATTTCTTTATTTCAATAACCGTGTTCTTCTTTCGTTTAAGGAAATATTACGAAACGCGAACACGGAGGGGTATCTTGAAAATTCCAAGAAGAAGACCTCGATGATTATCGACTGTTCGACTTCACGTGTTCCATCGAAAGCGTCGCCGTTAATTAAAATCGAAAACTCGCCCTTGGAAGTTGAGAAAGTGTCGAAGGAGGATTTTTCATCGGCCAAACAGAAGCGTGCGAGTTTTCGTAGCGGTACCAACAGAGCCTTCCTCGGCCCGATTAAATTGCCGACGAACGAATTAGAAAAAAATCGAACAGAATCGAAAGAAAACGTGACGAATAAACCTGTAATTACGAAAAGCGTTTCCGATAAAATTGTAATAAAAACGACTGGAGATTGCAAAGCGAAAGAAAATATTCTCGAAAGCAAAGATTCCTCGGCGTACAATAAAATGATGATTCAGAAGACGAACGATGTTGACAAGTGTAATTTAACGATTAAAAGAACTGTTAGTTCCACGGTGGATGATAATTCAATGATCGATAAAGTTTTAACTACGAAGAATAGCATGGAAGTTAGATGTAGTTCGGTGAACGAGAGAAACCCACCTTCGAAGAAGATAGAAATTCAGAGAATAGATGAAAGACCTAGGAGAACTAGCTCTGCACCGCCACAGAGACACGTAGAAACGAATTCGTCCAATCGTGTTCAAGTTAATATTGTGATTGATACAGCCGTTAATGGAACTTCAGGAAAGGGTAGAGAGCAAGATAAATTAGAGATGGATCGTAGAAACAGTGGGATCGAAAGGAGAGATACAACGAAGGTATAATAATTTTAATTATTTTGTAAAAGAAATATTTTCATTAATATTTTTCGTTTAGATTGCAGGACGATCAGTGAGGTCCGCGCCGTTGAAGAGGCGCTCGAGGAGCGCGAGAAGGCGATACTGGGGTTCTGGTAAAACCGACGAAGAAGGAAAATCACGGCACCGATCGTCCGGTCGTGGAAGAAATTCGATCGATTCTAGGACTATTGATATCGTCACAATGGTATCTCTTGTCAGTTCGGCTGACAGTGACAGTGACATTGAAAATTCACCGAGGGATGACAAATTAATCAACGAGTTACGCAGCAAACTTCCCACCACGTCGATCATTAAAACGTCGATGAATCCGCTGTGCAGTGCCAGGAAACCCATCAAATCAGGTATATATAAAATAATTTATAATAATAATATAGCGATAATAATATGATGAGAATTTTCTTGAATTAAAACTATCTTATATAAATCCTTTTCTTCTTTTTTTCTTTTTTCAAACCACCCTCTGTTATTGATAAGGAATTTAACAGTTCATAAAAAAATATCGTACAATTGGATAAAGCTGTTGAGAGAAATTGCAAGTAACGACACTCGAATATCGTGCAGGAATTTAATAACACACACACGTACACACGGAGCGTGCAAAGACGACCGTGGAATGATAATTGAACGAGTTAATTAGAAGCGACGCGAGACACGCGAGCTGCACATGCCGCAAATAATTTCCAAATATTCACCTTTCGTTGGTGTCTCTAAACGCAATAAAAAGAATACATACGATCGTTGGCGTTACTTTTTCATCATTATCCGCACGAATTTCTCGGCCAACTTTTACCGATCGTTTAGATTGCTAATTTTTTTACCGATGTCTTACAAGTGAACAGTTTCAAGTACTTGAAACTTGTTTAACCTCTAAACAAAGAACTTTGCTTCTACTTGGAGAAATCAGATACTAATATGATTATCATACTTGAGAGTTATTCAATACGAAGATATATTTTGTACTCATTTATTCTAAAATATACACTTCGAATTGTTGCTGGGGCCGATTCACTATGCTTATACGACTAGACCCTTTGGTTCTTCCAATTTTAACACTTTATCGACCGGTCGTGCGCGACACTTATCGACCGGTAACCTATTAATCGGTTCTTTGTCCCCGACGTTTATCGACTGGTAACCTATTAATCGGTTGCCACGACAACCAATAATTTGTTATCTATTATTGAGTTACGATTGTTAGATTATACTGTAAGCTCCACATTTTTATTTATATAATTTTGTTAATCCTATCCTTTGCCGAAACAAAGCCGGTGTCAGGGAAGTATTTGCAACCGCTACCGGTCGGTAAAGTGTTGAAAAAAAAAAAAAAATCTTTCTTATCGTCACTTTAGGTGAATTCAACAAATCTCCCTTGCTGTTCTCCCGAATTGTTCTCATACTTCTCATGGGAAATTCCAACTATGACTAGAATCTGTAAATTCTCCCAGTGTCGGCAACTTTGTTCCTTTTAATACCATCGCTAATTAAATGGAACTTCTATCGTGCAACGACACGAAACCTGTAAAGATAATAAAGGGTATCGAACACGTTAAATCGACCAAACTTCTTCTCTTGGTATTACGCCACTGACCCTGAAGCAAAGTATTTCATTGAAACTTCTTATGCAAATTGACTTGTAATAATTACACCCTTGGAGGTTAGCTGTTCGATCCTTGTAAATCATCAACACGATTGTATACGAAACACGAGAGATCATAAACGTTTGAAGATGATCCGATGAGATATCTTAAGTGATCTCGACAGAATTACCATTAATCATGCTAGAGTTAAGAATCATTCGTTTTATAATTTTGAAACTTTCGTCATTTGTTTTATTCTTTCAGAATACATATAAACTGGTAATAAAAATGTGTTCGTTTAGACCCGTGAAATTAAATCGATGACAAGGAGATATCGTTTGGCCCAGTTTTCTGTAAACGGGCAAGTGTTGCGAATGCAGGGCCATTAAATTAGGTTACTCGGTAAACACATTTATTCGTGACTATAAAATTCTACAGTCGATATTGCCCCGATTCAATTGGATCGGGTATAGGACGTCCAAGAATAAGGAATAAAAACGCGATCGAGTGATTTATTCGAATATCATTTGATTTACGACTTCGGTGGATTTCAATTAAAATATCGAGATACATATTACTCTTTGTACAGTTTCGTTCCAGAAAGATTCCTTCGACGAGGATTCGTCGAAAGAGCAACAACCTCAGGTAAAGGAGGAGAAGAAAACAACGCAACCACGACTAGCGATCGTTAGCCACCGTGGAAACGGCGGTACCTTGTCCTCGAACGAAGAAACAGTCTCTTGGAGAACGGAAATATCTGATGTGACCGTACCTGTTCTGACGCTGATCCACGATGCCGAGGAGACGCTCGACGTTCCGTTGACCGATCGCGAGAAAAGATGTCTGGCCGTGCCTATTGCTGATCTACGTGACAAAAAAAGAAAATTATTGAAAACTCGTAGCACCTCGTCACGATTGTGAGTATAAAAAAAAAATAAATGTTATTCTTAATTTCTTCTGAATTTTGCTTGAATTTTGTTTAAATGTATTTCAGAGAAATAGAAAAACAAACGTTATTATCGAAAACGAAAATCCAAGAATCGCCAAGAATTGTTCAACAGAAAATGGAGATTCCAAGGCAACAAATTAAAACCCCCACGAACAATATCACCGCCAATGTAATTATAATTAATTCTCGCTTCTCAATATATGAATTTATCACAAATTTCTTCGTAGGTAAAATCTATTTTTGTATCACATTCCAAAGAAACTGTTCAACCTGTACAATCTACATCCAAAGAACCACGATTCCAAACGAATAAGGAAAAAGAATGTTGGCATCTTTATAGGAAAATGTGCGACAAAGGGATCTGCGTGTCCTTTGACACGGTCTTAAGGTTTGAAATTTTGACCACAATGTGTTTATAATGTATCATAACATCAATTTGTAGATTTACATTTATGAAGTCATGTTTCAGGGGTATGCTTACGCCAACGGAATACCGACTAAGACAGAAAGAGCTTTCTCAGGATTTATAACTAAGCGTAATATTCAATAAATTGTTGATACTTTTGTAAGGAATCTGCTGGCTACTTTGAATAATACGGACAAACACTGTTAAGAAGAACCTTACATAGAAAGGGAAAGGATGTTTAAAATCAAACAATAGTCTAAGCCCGCAGCCAATATTGGATTATCATGAAATAGAATTAGCAAATAAAATATCCGAATTAGTTCTACCTTATTATCGGCTTCCCCGGTCAACTACGATCCAGGCCCTTCAAATTCCCGTAGTAATACTGTAACGGAAATAAAATAATTTTTAACAAAAAATACAATCGACTTCGAAATGCACTAAAAAATATGAAATAATTTCTACTTCATTTATATAAATACCCAACAGCTATTAATAAAACCTATTTACTCGTTAAATAGTATACTAAATACATTTCAACCATTTCGGAGGCGGCGCAAAATTAAAAATACCCGAATATACGATGCTGCCAATAACGATTTGATAGGTTGCCGACGCCTGAACTAGGATCTTCCTAGTAGAAGAAAAGTTTTTAATTTTGCGCCGCCTCCGAAAAGGTTGAAATGTATTTCATGGAAATGGGGGGTTGCTGGGGTGATTCTGAACAACTTTTTCCTTTACCAAAATGTTGGTCGAAGCTTCGTTTTTGAGTTATTAACGAAAAACACTGGCCAAAGAGAGCGCGCGTAGAGCGCGCACTGACAATGAATTTACCAGTTTAATTTAAGTTAAGTTAACATAAGAAGTCCAAATACTAAAAGGCACTTTGTATAATTGTTTCTTTTGAGCCTGTTCAATACCATATTCAAAGCTTCAATGTAACCGTTAGCAACTCGTCAACAAAGTTCGACAGCACTGTCATAACTTTTAGACGCGTTAACATTTTCAGCATACACATACCTTATTTACATCTACAAAATGTATGTTTTTAATTTTCATTACAGGCCCAAAAGAAACAATTATAAAAAGTGCCTTTCAGTATTTTTATAATATATAAAACGACAAAAGCACATCATCTAGTATATTAATTTTTATAGCTCCTCAAAGAATCTAAGTTATTTGGTTCAATTTTAAAAAGAGCATTCTGTTTTAGAGGGTTTAAAGGCTACTCACACCGCTTCCATTTAAACGTTTACGTGGGAGAATTTGAATTGATATTTATTATTAATGAAACCGACTGTGCTCGATATTGTACATACATACATGCCAAATGCCTATTTTTCGGAATATTTATTGTTAATATGTAACCATATCGTAGAATTTCAAATCATCTGAAGCTATGAAACCAATAATTTGTGAAAAGAAACCGCTGTTAATTACTGCAGATATTAAAATACACGAGAATTGATCAACATTTTAAATACTTGAAAATAGAATTAACTTCTATTTTCATGTATTTAATGTAATATACGATGTTTATAACTTATTCCTTTGTAATGTATAATTCAATAAAATACTTGAATTGTTATTAATAATGTTTCTCATTTAGAACCCTATCTTACATAAACAAGATTTCTATTATCCTAATTTTGCCTGACATTTATATTATATAATAACTAAATTACATAATTCACTGAGAATTATAATCTCATTTCTTTTTTAAAGGAAAAACAATTTAAATTTTTATTTAAAATTTAAGACTGTAAGAAATATTGGGTCATCCCATAAGTAATGCGACTTTTTGAGAGTGAGTTTGGCTATAATTTCCATAACGAAAACGTTGGAACCATCTTTGACCTTGATTTACACTCATAATGCCTGCACCATAAATTTTGCACATTTTATCTACTGTTGTTGCAGCAGTATTGCCCTGGCGAAACTCCCAAAGCAAAATCTGCCTTAAACGCTCTTTCGATACTTCCATGATAAAATTTATTTTTTCACGCTTATATTCACGCCTGGGGGGTAGTTAAGCCGACAGAAAATTACTGAAAACATTCTACAATAACTGCAATATATTGCATCATTCATTTGGACCAATAAAGAAAAACCGCATTACTTATGGGATGATGCAATATATTTTTCAAAACAATTTTCCACGAAAACTTTAAACATGATACGCTACTGTTTCACGCGTTTTATCAATTGCCTGTCAATTTGACAAGTACTCATTATAAATTTGCAAAGTACACGAAATCACGTGCTCCTGATTCGATAGATACTAATCTGACAGGATGATCTTAAATCGTAATATTCTTCTATTGTTATGACATGTACTATTAATAATGTCTCTACCAAGAAAGCATGGGAACAAGGTTAACGTCGACTACAAAGCACGACTGGAACACAAGTTATATCTGGTATATGTTTTTTAACGAGTAGAGGTTAATCAATCTCTTTCCTTGTGACTTCATCAATTTTGATTATTCGATTTTTCATATAATAGTCTTTGAATAATACCTTTTTAATATTATAATCATGCATTGCCTTTTTTTTTAATATTAGTAACATTTATATTAAAAACACAGTTTTAATACATACCGATATAAAGGATATGAACTACTATACTTATTGTCAATGATACATACATGAATATAATTTATTATTATTATTACAATAGGCTAGAGAAAATCCAGAACCAATATTTGATGTATCCGAATGTGCTTTAAAGCATGTGCCATCTGGTATTTATTCGCTATGTAAAGTATTCAGGAAGAAGGTGCTATGGATGTACAGTAATAAATTAACTTCACTCTCTGGTGGAGGTGCCTTAAGTGATTTGTCATTACTTGTTGTATTAGATATTCATGGAAACGAATTTACCAATTTACCACCTGACATAATGTGTCTTGTCTCTCTTAAGGTATACATAATTTCAATTAAACGTATTGTCATTGTTATATATATATTATTAATTATAATATGCATCATAGGAACTGTACTTGCAAGACAACAATATAAGAAAACTGCCAAATGAAATAGTGCACTTAAGTAAATTAAACATTCTAAATGTTTCAAGGAATAACTTGAAACAATTACCAGAAACGATAGGAACTTTAAGACAGCTCATTACATTGGACATTAGTCAAAATAAATCCCTTCATAAACTTCCTAAGTCCCTTGGCTATGCGCAACAATTGGCACAATTAAATATCGATGGATTAAATTTGTCGTATCCACCTCAAGATATTTTATATGGAGGCACAGTAGTGATCATAGCATTTTTGGCTAATGAAAATGGCATTGAGTATTTGCCAGAAGAATCTGTTTCAGATGTAGAATTGTCAAAAAATACAAGTTCAGATGATACCCAAGGAACATATAATAAGAATCATGATGTACAGGTATCATATAATAAAGGAGTCTACATATTGATGTTGCACTTGCATAGTGTGTCTTAAACATTTTCATTTTTTTATTTTTAGGCAGCATTACAGAAGCTAGCAAAAATGAAGGCATGTGGATGCTTATTTTATTTTATTACGCTTTCAAATATGTCTCATTGCACATTTACTATTATTCATTGTGAGACTCAATTTTGATTTATTAAGTATTTGTTATATGTTTCAAAATACAACTAATTCATTTATGTATTCGTATCATTATAATAAGTTTAAGCAATGTTTAATTTTTTGCTTGCGTTATTTCAAAATAATTGTTTGTGTAATATTTTAATTTAATAAAAACATAGTTCATAATTAGAAGATTACAATTTAAAAGTTAAGTTTACTTTCGCAGGAACATCGTCAAAACGCGTTATTAGAAGTTGAGAAAAATATGAAACAACAACAGGAATACGAAATTGGAATTCATTCCATGTTGAAAGAACACAGAAAAAAGGTATTGAGATTAATTAGTTAATTAATAACTGAGTAGAATGAAATTATCATTTTTTGCACTAAAACATTTCGGTTTTATTTCGGTTTTTAGCTTTTGGAAGACCTTGCTTTAGAACAATCACAGTTACTAGACGAATTACAAAAAGTACAACAAGAAAGAAATTCTAACAGTGCACGTTTACTATCTTATATTTATAATGGTATAATTAATGTATTTCTTGAACACATTTGTCTATCCAAAAGATAAAAAATATTAACTTTACTTTTAGCTGAAAAAGAAGCAAATAACGTAATTAAGGAATTTCTGAGAAATAGCGAACAGGAAAGACAAAGTCAAGCGGAATTACTAAAACGCGAAAAACAAGAAGAAATTCAATTATTATTATCTTGTCATTCAGAACAGTTCATGTTTCGTACAAAAGATACTCTTCGTAAGTAGTCGTAATGTACATTATTTCCTTTGCTATTGTAATTGTATGTTCCTATAATTTTTACAGTTTCAATGGAGAAATTATTGGAAGAAGAACTCCATAGAACCAGAAAATTAGAAGAATATAGTAAACACAGAGATTATGCTGCACAATCTTTGCTCACACTGTTAGTAGAACATTAACAAATAATATTATAAATAAAAGTACAAAGTTAATGTACATATATATTTCAGAGAAGTTAGAAACAATGATCATTTAGCACAAATAGTGCAGAGTCAAGAGAGGAACAGACAAGATTTAGTCGATACATTAAAACAAGATGAAGTTTTACAAAAAGCTGCTGTTGCTGCATTATTGGAACGTAGCGACGCACGTTCGTGGAGTATTATGCAACAAGTAAACTTGGTACAATTGCAATTAGCTGCTCTTACAAACATTGAATTGGAGAAAAGAAAACTAGAAATGAACCAACAGTTGGTATGTACTTTCAATGATTCATGAAAGTTTTTATTTTATTTTAAAAATATTTTACCATTTCACAACAGAATGAAATAGCTGAGAAAAGGGTCGCTTTAAGCGCTATTCTGATGAATCTGTTGGAACAACAGAAAAGTAGAAGAAATCAACTTTTAGAAACGATTAATAATATTGAGCACCAACGCACCATCAATGTATGTACCAATGTAAATTTCTTGTCGACTTCTATGATGGTAACATTTTTGGAAATGATATTTTATGTTCAAAGAATTCTAGAAGAAACAGTCAATTTTGGTTGATGCAGTACCAGTCTTTAATGGAAGCACGACCTCAGGGTTTATTAGAAATGCTAGATCCTATGCTAGTGCGACATGTTGCAATAGCAGGAGCGCTACATTATTTGCCATTTTTAGCTTCCCTACCATCATTACTTCCGGATCTTACTGATGAGCAATTAGAAACTGTACGTGTATTTAATATATACGATAGATACTTGATATTCTGAATTGAAGTGTGTATTTTCAATAGATCGGAATACACTGTGAAGCAGATCGCGCTGCTATAAGACTTGCGGTTGAAAATTATTTAGCAGAAATAAAACTTAACGAACATAGAACACCTGTAACACCTTCTGCACCGCCCGAAGAAGCATGTACAAGTTCTAATTACGAAGAATCGAATCCTATTCAAAGTATTAATACTGCCGAATGTGTGATTTGTCTCGATTTACAAGTACGCATAACTTTCATACTATTTAAACGTAACTATAGTATATTAAATGTTACATAATTTATATATGATTTTATGTTTGTTATAGTGTGAAGTAATTTTTCTACCATGTGGACACCTTTGTTGCTGTTCAGGTTGTGCAAATATGGTTTCTTCAGATTGTCCAATGTGTAGAAGTACTATAGAACACAAAATTCACGTTATAAAGCCTTAAAGTATCAACTCAATTTTTTATATATAATACCACCTAGATTAATTATCTTTAATGTTCTATTATTTTAATTATATTTTTAATTATTTTAATTATATGCGTTTATTATTTGAAAGTTTATACAAAAGGAGTTAAGTTATAGCATATATTTATATATTTTGGATATTCCCGTTTACAGAACTGGTAGTTCATAAAACATCATATTTATAGTTGTCCCATAAAAATTGTTTTTTAATTATATATCTGTTATATTTTATAATTTACCTATAGTATGATCTTTTAAATATACATTAAAATATAATTCTTGTTGGAACACGATTTAAAAAAGTAAGATCTGTATTAAGTGCATAGAGTTTCAAATTCTAATGTTATTTTTCAGTGCCATAATAGTATTTTAAGAGAACAAAATAGTTTATAATAATTGTACGTAAAATTACGAACGTTTTTTAAAATATTATCTACAATGCAAATAAGAAAATATTAAACGTCTGAAAATAAAAAAAATAAAAATTAGCAAATTGCATTTATTAACACTTGACTACAAATATCAATTTTTATATAAAATAATTTCTGACATATCTGTACATACGATAGCCTTATATGATAAAAATGATGACATTTTAATCTATTATGGTGGTTAAGAGTTAATAATGCAAATACTGAAAATAGTGCAAGCTTTTTGTAAACAATAGTTTATATAAGATCATTTTTTTATAAAAATTCACTTCTTAAATATAATATCTTAAAAGTATTCATCAACAAGATATTGAAATTTTATTCATTTATGTGTATTAATAAAACGAAAATTGTTAAAATAAAAAGAAGTATCAATAAAAAGTTTCAAATGAAGAACTTTTAGCTGTTTAATTTTCTTTAAAAAGCATTGATGAAATGGAACAGAATTATATACTTTTAAATAATTTTTTATATCAATATATTTTACCTTTCATTTAGGAGTAATAAATAGAATGTGGCAAACTTGGAAAACTTATATAATAACCATATAAAGTAGTATGATTCTTATATGTATAATACATATCAATAAACCATAACTTCCCTTCCTCCATCTTCCTCCTCTATTACATCATCTTCATCTTTTTTCTGTTGCTTTTTTTTAGATGTTGCATCTTTCTTTTCTTTTTGAGCTTTACGGAAATTTTCTAATGACTCCTGGAGTGGTTCAATAAATTGATCAAATTCTATATCAGTCATTGCTTGAATAACATCTGAGCCACTTATCGTTTTACGATTTCCCTTTTTGGCAATTATATTTGCTGATGATGTTAAGTACAATATAAATATTGAAGATGCTTTGGCTACCGCCGTTCTGGCATCTTTAGCTACTGTAACTCCTTCTGGTAATGCTTCTTTTATAATTCTTGTTACAACCGCATTTGGTAAATTAAGATCTTCGAGTCGTTCTGCCATCGGACGATATTATTTATTTATTCTAGAGAAATAATATTGTTGATCACATCATGAATCGGTTATTTACTATACACCGCTGGAGGTTATGTTTCGATATATTTGGAAGACGATAAAAGTGGTAGAAAATCAGAATTACCCTGTCGTAAAATCGATGTCGTGTTCTTATAATGACTTAATCGTACTAAATTAAACTCAAATCAAAGCAAAAACAATAAATTTTTATAAGCTGTTTCTTCTTATTTCCCGCCAATGCGTCCAATTGCGCATACACGCGAAACAAACAGAAAACAATGCAAACGAATATCCATTCAATTTATAAGACTCACTGCAATATCAAAATATCATAAAATTGATTGCAGTAGTGGTTAATGTTAAATTTCAATGATATTAACAATAATGCTTCTGTTTTTCCAAGTACCGATACAACGTTGTTATGATCAACAAACATTACTTTCAGCACCATCTATGTATACCGCAGAGTCCATAACTGCGAAAAGACCAGTTTTCGTTCTTCGCGCTTCTCCAGTGCGCATCTTCGCCCTGATTGGCGATACTCCCAAACGAAGTGGAAAGCGATTAGCGGAGAGCTCGCTGCGTTCCCCCACCATCTTCCAACCTGCGCGTCGCAGTTATGGACTCTGGTGAACTGCGGTATAAATAGTTTTAACTATATGTATAGCTAACTATTTTTTGTATTATGAAATATGTAAATAATTATAAATAAGTCTTGCGTGTACTATGTACAAAATTCATTGTCTGAAATAGTTCATTAATTGCAGCTTCAGGTACAGTAGTAGGTTTTACTTATGTTATATTGTTTCTAATTGTTACTTATATCTTATATATAGGATATAAAACATAATTATTGTTAAAGTAAAAGATATTTTAGTATTAAACAATAATCTATAGTAAGAATAAGTATTTTAATTCTTTCAAATAACGATTGACATTTCCGCTAATGTGGTGCATACATATTATATCGGTAAAGTAGGAAATGATAAGGAAATGGTAAGACTCCAGAGCCCTCAAAACTGTCGTATACTATATACAATATAATGTATAGATATATTCCACTAAACTGGACTAACATTTAGTTTGTATAGCACGAAGGATTTGTCGTCTGCAGTCTGATTTGACAAGATACGTTTAACATTACAGTGATCTGTACTTTGACAGTTTGATTGTTACATTTATTGAACTTAAAGAAAATCAAACGAAAGCACCATTCGGAGAAAAATGTCAAAAATCGAAGAAGGAAATGCTCACATACGACAAGCTGAGAAAAGGTACTGTGAAATGATAAATTATGGAAAATTCTGTCAACAATCAATTTGAATTTCCTCAATTCTTTTATACAAAATTCATAATATATACTCGTCGTAGTGTAAAAACAATTTAATTTTTATTGATCCACCTGATAAACGAAGTAAGACAAATCTGTATTATAGCTTAAAAACATCACTATTAAAATGGAGACCCGATTTCGAAGTTGCGGCCGACGAATATACTACTGCAGGTATAATGCATATAAATAAATCATAACATGATGTCATACCAATATAATATGTATTATTAATTGTTTTAGCAACTTGCTTCAGAATAGCAAAATCTTATAAACAATGTAAGGATTGTTTGATGAAAGCTTCTGATTGTTATAAGGAGAACAGAGCGTATCCTTTTTAAATTAAATACTTGTCCTATGAAATATTTTAGACATTTTACTATTTTAATGTTTTTTTTACTAATGCAATTGTTCCTTAACATTAATTATATAAAAGATGGTTTCATGCTGCAAAGTAAGTGCTTTCAAATTCCAACTACCTTATATTTTATAAGATATATTATTATCATATACAAATGTTTTAGGAGTATTGAACAGGCTCTCTTAATCTGCAAGGAAATGGGAAATCTTTCAGAAGTACCAAAACTAGCACATAGCGCTTGTTCTTTATATCAGATGCATGGATCACCTGAATCAGGTGCAACTGTGCTTGATAAAGCAGGAAAGATGATGGAAGCTACTCAACCGCAAGAAGCGTTAGAACTGTTTAAACGTGCTGCTAATATTGTTATGGTAAGATATTTCTTCTTCTCATAGTCAATAAAAATGTAATTAGAAGTGATATATAATATATTTGTTAATAAAGGGCGAGGACAGTCCGCGCCAAGCAGCGGAATACATGAGTAAAGTAGCAAGATTGTTAGTAAAATTACAAATGTACGACGAGGCAGCAGACGCAGTTCGCAGAGAGATTGGAATGCATCAACAGATAGATCATGCGCCTTCTGTTGGTAGATTAACAGTAGCATTAGTATTAGTACAGCTAGCTAGAGGTGATCAAGTAGCAGCTGAGAAAGCTTTCAAGGAATGGGGAAATTATTGTGAAGCTCCTGAGGTATAAAATGTATTTTCAATTCTTTCAATTGAAACTGTCTAATTGAAAATTTAACCCATTCATCTTTAGGTCAATACATTAGAAATGTTACTACAAGCTTACGACAATGAAGATGCGGATGCTGCAAGAGCAGCTTTAAATAGTCCCTTTATCAAACATATGGATGTAGAATATGCTAAACTTGCTAGAGGTTTACCTTTACCTCAACAAGAATATACAATGCCTCCGCCAGGAGTACGAGCAAATGCAGCAGAGTCATATACATCTCCTAATGCATCAAAATTAATTGAAGAAACTACAAGTGAAATTCAAGTAAGTAATGAATTCCTATCAATTCACATCTATTCTTGACAATACAATCGATTAAATAATTTTTCAGAATATGAGTGTTAAAACTTCTGAAGTTGCTGCTAAAATACCATCTGAGGATAATGCTGCAACATCATCTGAAGATATTACTAAAACATCATCTGAAGATACTACTGAAACATTGTCTGAAAATACTGCTACATCATCTAAAGATACAGTGACAAAAAAAGAAACACCAGAAGCACCTTCACAAGATGTAGAAAAAGAGGACGAAGACGATTACGAAGGTGGTTTATGTTGATTGATCATATTTATTAAAACCAACGTAACTCATGTCTTAAATTATAAACAAATTTTATTTTGTAAAAGGTACTCTATATCGTGTTAACGCAGAGATATATATTTAATGCCTGAAAAATATTTTTTGTGGGCATGCTTATATATACATACATATATAACTGTAAATCTTGTTGAAACATTTATTATTGGCTTAGTAAAGATACTTTCAATGAAAATTATATTTATACATATATAGTTAATACTTTATGCTTAGAAATATGATATTTATGACAAATTTTCATTTATATGAAATTTACAGTTACATAAAATATGTTAAATATAGTTCTTTATATAAAGGAATCCTATAACAGGAAATGAATGTGTAACATATATGCACTTATGTTCCATGCAGTACAAGAAAACAGCATTTAAAATATAATTTGTTCACATATTAATATCAGTTTTGTAAATTCTAGTATGTACTCAAAATATCTTTAGTGAATATCTATATGTACGTATAATTGCAAAAACAAATATTTTAATACTATAATTTTACTTTACAGCTGTACAAACATATGTAGCAAAATAAACTGTTATTGTAAAAATATAAACACACATATGTATAGACTCATTTGTATGTGTACGTCAATAAAGAGGTTATGAATATCAAACGAAAATGTAACATCACATGTTTTACTTACAAATTCTGCCTTTCAAAGTTGCATGCATTATTTTCTTTCACAGCAAATCTTCAAGAAATTATAAAATGATATTTAACAAAATATTCTCACATTCTGGGCACAATTTATAAAATACGAACGTCCTTTCACCTGGCGTCTTTGAAAGTTTGCCGCGAAATGACATGTATAATATACCAAAACGGAAATCGAATGTAATAATCGAATTGAAAAGTATCGAATTTATACATATATTTAAAAAATTATATTTATATTATATTTATATCTATAATTATATCACTTTTAATTTATAATAAAGAGTTAAAAGTTACTTTGGGAACATTGATAATTAACTATACACACATTTGACTAACAAATTTTAAACTAAATTTTTTCATTTAGTTCAAACAATTCATCATTTACGCATGTATAAAATAAAATAAATTCAATTTTATAATAACTTAAAAATTTTCTGCACTATTCGTTGTAAGGTATTTATAAAATTGGCGCGAAATAGAAATTCCTCTGTTGTCCAAGTTTGAACTAGTGACTATAGATGGGTAAATACTACTGACTATTTAAATATCTTTACCGCCCTAATAGGAAATATTAGAACGTTATGTATTGTTAAAAGTCTAATAGAGAGTGCTAGTAAATATTAAATATTAATATTCTTTGTCTATACTCTGTTATTATTTCGATTATTTGGTATGCTATTGTCATATGGGTGTGAACTCCACTTTAAGTGTTTCAACACGAAATCAATATTATAGTGGCTCTTAAAGAGGCGTGTTTGCGCACGAACGTTAAAATCGAATAAATAGTCGTCTGCAGAAAGGCTTGAAGCAGACGTCACAATACACCACGACGTCGCGGTCGAATAATAGTGGGGCGCGAGCAAGTATCAATTTGATTATTGTCATCGGTTCTCGTGAATATCGGTGCTTCCGTCAAGACTGTTCGGAATTTCTACCGATGATCGGCAAATCGCGCATACGTTTTCCTGTGGGTGCCGTGAGGCGGCGAGAAAGGCCACCTCTTTAAATTAAAAGAAGGAATGACGCTGGAGAATCCGTTCTTTGTCGTCAAGGAGTAAGTAAAAATGATATACTATTATAAATGTTTGATCAATTCTTCCTGACTATACAAATCGTCACTAATCAATTACTTATCGATATCGCAAATTATATCGATATGTAACTTTGTGTTTGAAATTTTGTTATTCGTTTCGTGACATAAATGTTGCATACACGTATAGATACATATGTATATATCAACCCTTTAAAGAACCGTCGGTAGCTATACAACAGATAAAAGAAACCCTTGCTTCTGATGTTTTCAAGTAACACTAACATACTGTAACGTCAGTGTACACGTTTCACGGTAATCCTTTATTCCAAATCTTATCTTAATACGCATACAACTGTAGGCACTTAATCTTAATTGTTTACGTATTCTTTCGTTCATTGTATTTATAAAAAATACCATTGAACTTCCTTTCTTAATGCTTTAGATTAGATTCAACGTCTATTTTTATTTGAGTATTTCAACGTATTGTTAAGAAACATTCTTAAGATTCTGCATAATGCGCTCGATTTTTTACCAGTCAGCATTCCATTATTTTGATAGGTCGCCAAAATGAATACATATTTCGATTGCAAAGTGGAAGCTAATCGATTGATATTTCATATCAAAATAAGATCGATTGCTTTTACTTATTTTCTAATCTTAAGATCGTAATTACGATATTCAATTTATGGACAGCAACGATACCTTTAATATTTGTCAGAAATTTGTTTACAAAAGATATATAACATATTAATGTATTCCTTCTTTTATCTTTTAGCGAAGTTTGTAAGGCCTTAAATAAAAATCGCGGTTTATACAAACGGTGGACGGAATTGCAAGATGTTGTTGTCACAAGTCCAAATGTGAGCGGGGGAATCCCAATTTCAAGGGACGAATTAGAGTGGACAACAACCGAATTACGGAAAGCCTTACGTTCAATCGAATGGGATCTTGATGATCTAGAAGATACGATCCATATCCTTTAATGCATGTAATAATACTAAACTTCAAATATATAATCGTATATATTTTTTGCAAAACAGATATTCACATTTTTGTTAATTCAATACCATTAGTCCACTGTATCGTTAGCGCAATTAGGGGTGAGGGGTCAGAAATGTCAGCTGTCCCCCTATTAAGAAATTAAAAATTCTCTTTTAAATGCTTACAAATTCGGTAGTTCTATACATCATTTAAAATTAATGTAACTTTTTATTCATATTCTATATTACTTTAACAAATAACGTATGTATATATGTATATACGTATCGTAGAAAAGAATCCGACAAAATTTAAAATAGATAATAAGGAATTAACAGTTCAACGACGTTTCATCGAAGAAACAAGGGAAGAAGTTAAGGTAATTCTGATAAAGTTAATTGTTAATAATAAAATTCTAATATAATTTATACAATTGTTTTGTTACAGATCATGAAGGATAAAATGAATTTAAGTAGAGGTCGGGACCGCGATAGTACAGCAAGGCAGGTTTGTAATAATTAACTATTGTATATATAACGAAATATTAATCAAAATAGTAAAATTAAAAGCAAAAATCTGTGATGTATTCTTTACATTTTTAAACTTCGCTCGTAAATTACAATGCGTGTACTATGCGACATCTATGAAGAACTGTCAAATTGCTAATGATCTTAATCAGCTGAGAATGTCTACTCGCAGTAAAAGAGTTAAAATGTAATTTATAAATTCCGTTCTCTTTCTTTACGGTACGTTCTTTATGCATTTACAAGTAATATATTGTTGATCGGAATTATAAAAAGAAGGAAATGGTTTACACGGTAAATCAATAAGTCTTAATATTATTAGCATGTAAATAAATACTATTATTAAATTATTTGTCGTTGCTTAGAATTTTCTGTATTGAATAATTTTTTTTTTGTCTGTAAGCTTCCATGAATTTAATAATTTATGTACTTTTCTTATATCTATTTGTATATTAATATTACAGCCGCTTTTGGACAATAGTCCAGCCAGAGTTCCTGTCAACCATGGTACAACTAAATACAGTAAATTGGAAAATGAAATTGATAGTCCGAATAGGCAATTTTTGGGAGATACATTACAACAACAAAATGATATGATGAGACAACAAGACGAACAATTGGATATGATAGGTGAAAGTATTGGAACTCTCAAAACGGTATCTAGGCAAATCAATACCGAATTAGACGAACAAGCAGTGTAAGTTTAACCAATCATTCGTTTGTTATTTAATGAAATTAATTTTTTTACTTAAATAATTTTAATTATTTCAGTATGCTCGATGAATTTGGAAATGAGTTAGAAGTAACAGATTCTAAGTTGGATGCTACAATGAAAAAAATGGCCAAAGTTCTTCATATGAGTAATGGTAACTATAATAATTACATTCCTGCTCCTACTACTGCAACATCTAGTGTTTCTGATCTTGCCTCTAAACCTTCTTCTTTATCATTCTTATCAAATACAATAACTAACTGTTTTTTATGTTCTGGAGATTAAATAAATATCGTTATTATAATTTAACTATAATTATTTAGTAACATACGTGAAACACATTTTCTTTTGCTTCATTATTTGCTTTATTTTATTTTATTTTATTAATTTAGCTTGATTATATGCACCTAATTTTTGTGTAACATAAAACTAATGACATAATTTACAAAACCTAGTGGAAAATTATGGAACTTTCTGACAAGTATGATATTAACCATTCATTTTGCTTTCAAAATAATATTGCATATCACGATCACTACATACATTCCTCTTACACTTTTTAAACTAATTATAACTTACATTTAGCATTGTTGCACTTCAATTCTTTACTTTTTTCTAAACAAACTGTACTAAAATGTGATTAAGCCAAAGAGCTGTTGAAGGGTAGAAGTCTCATTAAATTAAAATAAAAGATCTAGTAGCAATCATTATTTGAATTTTAAAGTGTTCTTAAATTATTCGTGTTTTTTTTTGTATTTTTATTGATTATTGGTATTAAAGAAATGTTTCCTTTCATTTTTGTTTTTCATTTCTACATGTTCATATTTTATAAGCATTATATTACTTATATTTTTATTGTAATGAGAGTAAACAAAGCAAAGAATGGTTGAAAACCTATATGTACACAATAATTAAAGTTAATAATTTGCAAAGAGCCAACATATATTTAAATTTAATAAATATCAGAGATGTAGCGTTAAAATGGACCAGTTGTAATTATGAAAGAAAAATATTAATGTTTAACTGCATTTAGTCAAAGTATTTATTATGTACCTAGTATGATAGGCACTAAAAAAGTGTAGTATAAATCAGTTATGGAATCAGTAAAAGTATATCGTTGAATAAAATGTATATTAAAGATATTTAGATAAATAATAAATTGTATTTAAGTACCTCATTTACATGTAAATTTTGAAAAATTATGCCAAAATATCAGGAATTAAATGTTAAAGTAACAGGAAGTAGCACGATTAATTTGTGCCTAAGAAAATTTGAATGTAATAGATTTATAGACAGATACATATATATACAAATATTTCCAGTATGTTTTAAAATCTCTGATACTTCTACTTCCAATATATACCAACATGTGATATTATCATATTGATTCAGGTGTAGATAAACATAGTATAGTACACATTATTATGGAACATTCGCATGGCATTGTGAAAGTGCCATTTAGTTTATGTGTGTAATGAATGTAACTGAAACTATAGAGTTCGAAAGAAAAGTGTTAAAAAGTTGATAAGAAGAATGTAAAAACAATTATTTGTACGTACGATGGTTACTGATCGATTGTTTTTCCAATGCGAATAAAAAAATGTTCATAAGTATTATGAAAATTAGAGACTGCAGGTAATCTAAAGTTCTATTTTTAGGAAAAATTAGGCATAATAGAGAGAATTGAAAATTAGAAAATGAAACGTTCATTTCATTGTTAAAAGAGTGTTAATAATATAACGTTGTGAATTCATACATAAAACAGAAATCGTCTATTCTAGTATGTATTTAAAAATCTAAAGGGAAAAAAAGTATACTTTATTATTTCTCATTAATGACCAATTGTGAAGATGCACTGATAAATAAAACTTGCGACTTTATTTATACTGTACATGTTACTGTAAGGTACCACAAATTCCTGACCTATTTAAGTGATTCAGACAACCATTATACTAGTAAGATTATATATATAAGAACTTGTTGCAAATTAGATTCTATGTTTGAGAAGATTCAACATATATATGATACAATCGAATTTCAAATAATAATAGTTTTCTAATATATTGCTTTAACAATTATGTTTAATTTCTTAAACATTTAGGTATATGAACATATGATATAAAATCTCTCAATCATGGAATATAATATAATTTTTGAAATATATGTTTATGGATGTGTATTTTAAACATTATGTCATTTTTCTTATTTTTTGCTTATATATGTTTGTGTGAAAATAATTTTTATATATATGTATCAATGCAATTTCAGAAAGATTAATACAAATAAGAATCATTGTTTTAGAGCTTCCATATTTTAATGAATGTTACAATTACTGCTTGTTATTTCTAAATAACTTTAATATGTGATTTTTATAGATCATTTAAAATACTAAATTAGTTTGCAATATTGATTCTTTGTACTCAAATTGCTTAAAGAAATTCACATTAATAGAATATTTTTTATAAAAAGGATTGAATATCTGTATCGTATCATGAAATTTTATAAACAGCAAGTTTACTCGATTATCTGGCAGTGACATATTTATAATTCATTATCTGAGTGCAAGGTATCAAATAAAAAATGTTCAATGTTATTATAAATTGCTTGTTGAAAAGTGCATGTTGAATATAATGTACAATGTTTATTGTTTGAAGAAGGGCCAAATATATAGTATTGATTTTCCTTATAATAAATACATGTTATTTATTTAATTTTATTGTCGTTCAATGAACGACGATAAAATTATTTGATTCTGACCTTTTTTATAAGTGACGCATGCGATGTTACTTTCCGTTTGTTTTAGATCGGAGACAATGGGTAGCCATTGGAGTGTTGACCGCTATATTGGTGTTTCTAATAATTTTATTTATAATTAAGTGAATCATTTAATTTCTTAGCCTCCCTAAGAATTATTGGTTCTTCTTCATAGCATTTAGTCAAGTATGTTAAATTTTGTTTCAATAATAAATTATCGATAGCGATATTAATAAATACTCACGGTTGTTATATTTTTGACAGGGTCTTTATAAACTCCTTCCCCCAAATTCAAAAAGTAACTAACTTAATTCGTTAAAAGTTTTACTAGTTTTAATGTTTTACTATTTTTTTTATTCATACTAAATATAGTTCAATATTTTATTGAAATATTATATGTAAAAAAAAAACATGATTCATCATGATATATGTTGTAAAATATATTTAGGCTTCTGCTGTTCTCCTTTTGATTATACAAATGTTTCCTTCAACTTTTAATATTTATATAATATTAAAGTAGTTGTTCACTGTTCAGCTTGTACAAACGCATAAATAAGTCACAATAATGTATTATAGTCGATTTTGTACATTGGAGATTAAAACACTTGCCTTTTTTCGGAGGAACTTTCGAAGCGTTCTTAGAACTTAGAAAAGTACTTAAAAGACATAAAAATTATAAAATAATTGTATATAGATACTATATACATGTTTGTACACACGTACAAATAAGCTGTATTATAAAAATGTTAGACGAATTGAATAATGTAAATGGTCTAGTAATGATAACAAAAAGGAAAATATGTCTACTATATTAAATCTTTGGTATTGTGTTCATTATTGCAGTCATTTGTATATGTAAACACATGAAATTAATATTTTATCTACTGAATGATTTGATATTTTATATCCTATTCTCAATTCTATCATAATTATATGATTTAATTAAAAGTATTTTTTACCATTGTTAAACATACAGCTATAATGTGCAATATATATATTCTGCTTTTAGAAAGAAATACGATTGATTCTCTAGTTATTAATAGTAAAGATATGTATATACCTTTTAACATTTTTCTTGGTTTTCATCCCTTCATTGTATGTAAGGCACCTCTAGTGATATGAAAAAAAAAAAATGGAACGCTCGTACGTTTAAGTATTGGCTGATAACGATTTCAGTATTTATGGTTCCAATCGTACACGTTTATGGCAGTCGACAGGCAAAACTTTTCTTATATCACCAATATTTTCAACCTCCATTCTTAGTCTACTGACCTCATCCTCGTAATTTTTTACCCATTGCGTTTGCAAATTCTTTGCATCTGTTAATGCTCGAATTCTTTGATCTAAGTTTGCAGCCGCGATTTCTTTTTCAGCTGCAACTAAACGCTCTTCCAGGCGATTTAAGTCAGCGTCATCTAAGTTACAGAAGTTTAAATTTATAGACTAAAATGGGGTCAATTCAAATATAAATTGGCGAAAAAGCAATTTACCTATTTCTGGTACATTTTCAAGCTCATTCATTATTTCAGCCACTTCAGCTAAAGCTTTATCAACTTGTTGGGATGCTAAACTTACATTAATCTTAGCTTGACCAACTTTATGATTCGCCTAAAATAACACAGTAACGATATTATTATTTAATCTCAATATCGACTTTATTATCTACACCTGATGTCTTACTTCTGTGGTAATATTTGTATCTTGACTGATTTGAATTTCATATCCTTTCATCATGGAATCAGTGGTGTCGACACGTGAATGTAATTTCTCAGCTTCGTTTCCTACCCGAAGCGCTTCTATTTTAGTTTTATTTGCTTCAATTCTGATAGCATTTGCCTTTGCGCTAGCTTCTTCTGCATATGACTAATATGGAAATATTTTTCATGTAGTAAATTATACATTGTGCTTTGTATTCAAAGAAAAATCAGTTTACCTGAGCATTTTGTGCTCTTTCACGAGCAAGCTTAGCATTATCTTCTGAACCAGTTAATATTTCATTAGCTTGCGCAGCTTGATTGATTGCGTTTATAATTAAATCTTCAATGTCTCCTATATCCTTCAAAGCATCTTGAGCTTTAATACGTTCACGTTCAACCTCGGCATGAAATTCTGAAATATTGTAAATAAAATAAAAAACATCCAACGTTCCTTTTTATAAAAAATGTTTCATTAGAATTAATTAAAACGACATACCTCCCAGTTTCTTCAATGTTTCTTGAGCTTCTTTTAAAGTTTGATCGCCACGTTTTACAGCATCGTTTGCTTTCTCATTAGCTCCATCTAATTCAGCAACAAGTTCAGCAGTAGCTGCCTGTTGATCTTGTGCTCGTTCTATAAGCTCTTCACTTTTTCTTACTTTCTCTGTCATTTCATTTATAAGATGCTCATTTTGATCTAACAACAGTTGCGCTTGTTCTTTCAACCGTAATCCCTGCAATGATTTGTTGTGTTAATGTTGGTCGTATTAATTATAATTATTATGGTTTAAGTTTACCTCGTTATTCACTTCTTCAACTTGACTTTGTAACCGATCAATGTCAACAGGTGGAAGAGCCAAATCGAGAATCAATAAATCTATTGCTTCTTGCGAAACAGCGGACGATTTAGTAGCTGCTATGCTGGTAAGATTTTTCACCTCGTTCATACGGTGCTCCAGTAATTCTAATTTATTTTCCAGTCCTCTAATATCGTCTCTAAAAATAAAGTCGATTTTTAATTAAAAAATATGCAGTACATAATTTATTTGAATATCACAAAGCACCAGTTTAAAAATTGTTGTAATACAGTAATAAATAAATACGAACGTCATATTAGAATATTTTGCTATAGCTTTCTTTGCAAGGCTATAAGCTTCAATTGTTGTATTTCGAGCTTGCTCCGCTAGTGTATGAATCTTCTTGGCTTCGTTGACGTTACTGTAAATGAGAAATAATACAAAGGATAATAAATTATTATAAATCTTTCGTATAAATAGATGTTGCTTACAAGTCAGCTAATACACGCGCTTCTTGTGCAATTGTAGTCATTTGTTTGTTCTGTTGACCAACTTGTTCCGCACGCGATTTTGCTTCTGCTAATGCAGTGGCCCCACTGGTGGCTAAATAATCTTCCGCATCCTAATGATAAAGAGTTTAAACCTAGGCAATTATTTCATACTTCTATGTCTACGTATATAATAATATAATATATAGCATCATTCTTACAGTTAATTGACCATGTATTTTGTCAAGCACTTTTTCTGCTTCATCAATGCTCATCAATCCTTCAGAGGCAGTTTTATATGCATCAGTAGCAGTAAGGTTAACAGTTAGCGAGATCTCACCAATCTCATTTAACTGATCGCGCAATTCATCAAGTTGTTCCACCAGTGTCTTGTTTTCATCTGAAATATTATCACTTAAAATCTTACTTGAAGTAAATACAAATGAACTCAAGAAATTATACTTACTACCAGATCCTTGTTTAGCGGTGTGCAAGATATTCTTCACTCTGTCCTGAACATTCTTTAATTCTTTCTCAAAGTCCGAATCTTTAATAACCGTTGGACTGCTATTAATTTTCTTTAACGTGTTCTCTAATTCAGCCAAACGTTCTCTGTGACTATTAGCCGCTGATTGGACAAGATTATAACAATCAGGACAATCTACGCATCCATTTTGTCTGTTATGCTTGTTTTCCTTGCAACGATCGCACCGTCTTCCTTCCACATTTTGGAGGCACTAAAATAAGGAAATAAATTTGTGAAAGATTGCAAAG